TTGTGACGTCCATACTTTCCGTATGTAAGCAATATAACTAGTTTCTATCAAGGTATAGCAGTAGTGTAGTGATAAGACGTGTGACTCAAGAGCCAGAGGTTCCAGAATCGAATCTAAAGCCAGCAACACATGATGCTTGTTTTCCTGCTGGATTGTCTGTTAGGTGTCCTTGCTTGCTGCTATGTGGGCAGCTGTGCGGGCAACTCTGCTGACTGTGCTGGTTTGGCTTCACATTATGCGGGTCACATACTGGTTGAAAGATAAGTATATTTGCATTAGGGCTGCGTTCTGATATTCACTGCTAGCACTGAAATTCTATGGTATATGTGATACAAACTATGTATTTTCAGTACTTTCTTTTTGTTCACGCAGGGGAAATCCATCATGGATACCCCCGACCCTTGGGGGGGTCGGGAGTTATGTCGGACTCTTACCGACTAAAACCCCTGCAGGATGCCTACATGTCGGACCGTTGTGAGGGGAGTTAGGGGAACTGGTCCCGCATTCCCTCCCCGACACCCCGGCCCCAGGGCTTTCCGGGAGCCCCTCGCCTCTACCGCACCCCCTTTTCCCTCACCGAGGAAAATTAGTGGGGGGCGCGGTGCTCGGCCAGTTTCCTGGCCGGTTGGCCTTCTGGTTTCACCTAAAAGGAGGAGGGGAGCATCCGCCCCTCCTCCGTATCCTCCCTCGCCTAATCGAGGGGAGATTCTTGGGGAATGGACCCAGCCCCAACTGGGTTACCACTTCCCTTTTCCCTACCTGTCCGACGGCTAGGGGGAGCAGGAATTCAATCTCTACTCCCTCCCCTCCAATGAAGGCGGACCCGAGGCGGCCGAGGGAGATCTCGACTCCTTCGGATCTGGGACCCCTTCTCGGCCGACGCTACCTCCGGCCCGCTGCCAATCCCCCCCTCCGAGGAGCGCCGACCCTGGTGTCGCCTATTGCGACACCTCCCCGTTCGGCGCTCCCACTCGGCGGCCTCCTTCTGGGACATTACGTCCTCACAGAAGGAGATCGCCGCTGACCATGCTTCTTCGCTTCCGCACACGATGAAAGCTATGTGCGGGAGCGAAATATCCCCCTCTGGGCACCCCACCGCCCTGGCAAGGACACGGCGCTTCCCGCTCCATGCTGGGCATGCAGCCAGGGTGTGATGCGCCGTGTCCATTGGCACAGGGCAGTGATGGAATCGAGTGGTGGGCTCCTTCCTGATCCTCTGCAGGTGCTTACCAAAGCAACCGTGCCCGGTAAGCACCTGCACCAGAAGGAAGGACATTCCACATCCCCTCCTGCCCATCAATTCGGGTAGGCAGGGGCGGACAGCCTTGGCCGTTTTGCGCCCGGGCCCCCGGGGGTCGGACAAAATGTTCGCCCACTTCTCCAGGGTCCGGGCACTGGCCTAGAGCTTCAGGGCCTTCAGATCCCTGGCCGTTAGCTCCCCCTCCCCGCGGAGTTTCTTCACCCTCCAATAGAGGATCCTCCTTTCTTCGGCGAGGAGCTCCACGAGGGGAGGAACCGGCCAGGGTGGTTGCCGCCATGTGTGATATTGTACGGTACCCCCGAATCGCCCTGATCATGACTGGCCGTGTATTTTCAGTACTGACAATGAATTTCGGAACGCAGCCTAGGTCATGATAAACATGGAACAGATAATTGCTGTTGAAGTAAAATGTAAAAGAATTGCAGTTTCATTTTTTTATTTATTATAGCGTTGCAACAAAGCCGACGGAATCAATTTCGCCGACGTTTATGGAGTCGACAATGGTTACAACAGCGCAATAATTACATAAGTGTACTTACCATGTTATTTATAGAACTCGTGAGTATGAATCTATTAATATAAATTTTTTTCCAATTTCTTTTCCTGTCCTATGTACTTTACTTTTCTGTATATAGACCTGAAGATCCTAGATCTTTCAAAAATTATACTCGACTGGAAGAAGAGGTTATGGAAAACTATTATTTCTCATTAGTCCATACATTGAGAAAAAAAATACGGTAATAAGAGAAGCTATTTGTCCTCGAATGAGATTGAGTGTAACTCTTCAATTTTTAGCAATTGGCAACTCGTTTCAAGATCTCTCGTTTTCCACAAGAAATACTCCAAATACTTTATCAAAAATTATACCAGAAGTATTGCAAACTATTATTACAGTGCTTGAAGACAAAGTGATGTTATTCCCAAGTAACGACGAAGATTGGGAAATCATAGCTGAAAAATTTTAAACTATGTGGCAATTCTCTCACTGCATAGACGTTTTAAATGGCAAACATATCGTCTTTCGCCCTCCACGCAGTGATGGATCAAAATATCGTAATTATAAAGGGACAGATAGCTTTTGGCCTTAGTAGATGCAGAATATAAATTTATCTTTATAGACGTTAGCAAAAATGATCGCACTCATGACTCTACAGTGTTTCGTGAAAGTCCATTAGGAGTAAAATTGAAGGAAAATACTCTCAAATTACCACAACCAAGTACTCTGCCTGGTTTTAATGTTAACTTGCCATATGTAATTATAGCGGATGATGCTTTTACATTACATATTAATTTAATGAAACCTTATCCAGAACGTGGCTTGACGCAACAAAAGCGAATATGTAATTCAGCACAGATTCAGCAGAGCACGAAGAACGTCCGAAAATGCATTTGATATACTTACGAATAGATTCAGAGTTCTGTTAAATCCTGTAGCATTAGCTGTAGAAAAAGTAGAGCTTATAACGTACGCATGTGTCCTGCATAATTATCTTTTAAATGAAAAAGAACTTAATTATATTCCTACTAAATATAGAACAGAAAGCTCAGAAACAATAGAGTCAGGATTATGTAGTATAGGCCAACAAGGTGGCAACCGATCCTCTGCTGCAGTTGGAGAAATAAGAGATATATTTGCCAAATATTTTAATACAATTGGTGCTGTCCCATGGCAGTATACTGCTGTGCAGAAGGGAAATTATTAATTAAATTTAAATATATGTATTTATAAAAAATTGGAATCTCCTTAAACTTCTATAATATACAAAAAGAAATAGTATTGCTGTTTTATTAATGATATATTAAAATATTATGTAATGTATTAATATAATATTACTGTTGTAATATATATACTTTTTTAAAATAAAGTCAAACAAGACATTAAAGCAAATGTATAATCACTTACCTTAATTGACTGATTAAGTATCAATTATGATTGGTTAATACTATTTAAAAACAAATGCGATTGATCATTTCTAAGAAGAAATCGATTAAGTTCACTACAGATTATTAAACTATGTCATTGTCTAAAATAAATTAGGAAATACATTGTCAAATTATTATAGTAAAACATTTTGAACTTTTTGATAGATTACAATTTATTGCACAATAGCCATACAAATTATTGTTTATAATATGTATTAAATTATCAATATGTATATCAAAGTATTAATAAAACTTTACAGTAAATCTCTGCCAAATGAAATGTTGTAAGCTTTAGTACTATAAAATTAAAATATTTCTTATACGTTTAAAATAATCTTTGGTACTATAAAACTAAAATATTTATTTTTATATTTTTAAAATAATTATTTTCTAACAAATAAAACAAAAATAGGGTAATAACAGAGAAACCACTTCTTTGAAAAAGAAAAACTGTTTATATGTTACTTATATTTTCCATATCTTGCGTGTTCGCATTTAATACTGTTTGAATCAATATATGCATTATTTCTAACTTTAATGCTTTATTTTTTATATCTTTTAATAATAATCCAACAAATGCCATACAAGCATCCACAGGATCTAATGCATTAGATGAAGGGTTACTCGCAACTATATTTGCTGACTGTACAACTACAGGTTGCTGTAGGGTCTTATTTATCATGTTTAGAGTATCGAAATAAATATTGTTGTTACTTAATTTACGTTTCTTTACAGTTTTAGTTGATGATTGTATAGAATGTACATCACTTAAAACTCCTGAAGATGAGGTAGAAATTGCTGGACTAATAGCTGCAGGTGGTCGAACAATGTTATTACAGCTAGAAGGTGTATCTAAAGTCACAGGTGTAGCAGTATTATTTGTAATATTTGATGATCGAACATTAGTTAACGCAAGTTTAGTTTGTGATGGTTCAGTGAGTTGTGAGATTGAATTGGTTGTAGAATTATCAAATGTATTTGTTACATTAAATATATTCGTCATACGTTCATCTAACCATTCTACTAAATATTCGTCATCACCATGTATTCCAGAAAGTTCTTGAGTTTCTGATGATATGTTAATCTACAACAAAAATATACATAAATAGTATAAAACAAATAATTGATTGTATCTATACTGATATTAAAAAAGAATATGACGTAGTTTTAACTATTTAGATTATAAGAATTTAATTATTCACAAAACTAATTCTCTCAGTATAAAGAATAATTGCACTTTACCCCACTTGTAATCAACAAATTTTTCGCACTCTTTTTCTCAATGGAATTCCTATTTCTTTGAGGTATAAAATAACTCTTTAAGCATTTCATATCACTGCAATACCAGAGAGTCGGTATGTATATCTGTAAATATTTCAAAACACAAATTTTAGTGAAATTAACAGTAATTAGGCATTAGGAATTAGGTTGTAAGAGGTTAGATTTTCATACTTACGTCATCAGTGCCAGTGCCTGATTTTATTGATGCCTTTACTTTAGAGTTTTCGATGTTAAATTGATTTCGTAAGTTATGAAATTTTGTTGCACATTCGTTTTCTGTTATTCCCGGTCTATACATTGATACGGAGTCACATACTTTTTGTAGCACCTTATTTCTAGCATGTTTATTGTGATAATTTGGCGTATTTACCGCGTACAAACACGGTTCCTCCTTGTAGGCTTCTATTAAACTAGAAATTGACTCGTTTGTCCATCCTTTTTTTATATTCGTTTTGCACGTTGGATTGCACATTGTGGACCTCATGCTTCCTTCTGTTCTATTTGACAACGATATTTTTGAAAGGAATAGAAAACCTTAAGTCACGTGATATGAGGCAATCTTCTGATTGGCAGGAGTCGCCGCCTCCAGGGCTCCCCTCTTCCGCTTATCCCTCTGCGGTAGTGCTTCCTCCGGGATCTCCATAGGAGCGGTGGGATCCAGGGCGCGGTCTTCGGCCGCCTCCGCCGCCATACTTTCCTCCTTCCACGTGGGAGAGGAGGCCGGCTCAACCTCCTCTCTTCCCTTCCCTCCAGCTGTCCTTGGGGAGGCCTGTCGGCCCTTCCCTTCGTCCTTCATCGGAGTGGGGGAGGCGTTCTTTGTCTCTCCCTCAGGGTAGGGTCCGGGCTGCCTTTTTCTCAGATTGGCCTCCCTCCTTCTTCTTTGCTTGCTCGTAAGAGGCTTACAAGCGGGTCCGCCGGTCTTATGGCCGGCTTCCTTGCCCGCTTCGGCGCACACGGGGCAGTATGCCGCAGCCGCCCTACATTGTTTGGCGCGGTGGCCGGAGGTACCGCAACGATAACAATTATCGCTGCGATCGACGGCGCTCTTGCACCGCTCGCTCGGTGGCCCTGCTCCAGACAACGGAAGCAGAGCACCGCGCGAGCGGGCAATGTCGTCACCCCGGCTCGGGTCCAGCCTATCTGTACCCGCCCCGCGGCGGCGATTTCGAGGCTGCCGCCAACGAGCACCGCACCACTGCCGTGGCCGTTCCTCGCTGGGTATGTCGCAGCTCGCCCTCAGAAATATCCGTAGGCGGGCAACCCCCAGCATGGGCCACAGCGGCCACCACGTCCTCGGCCCCGACCGTCGCGTCCAGACCAGTGAGCCGCAACGCCGGCTTCACCGGCCTCTGGACGCGATAGCCAGGGCCCTTCTCCGCCGCCAGCTTGTCGAGCTCCTCGGCCAGCCGGTCGGTGGAGGGCCCAGCGTTGAGGCCAGGCACTTATATCAGCAGGACCCTGGTGCGGCCCGTACGGATCTTGAGGGTATGCCGACGTCAACCGGTTTGATCCGGCGCCTGGCCTCAACCATGAACTCCTTATAGGAGTCCTTTGAGCAAGTAACCGTGATGGCCACCGATCTGGGCGGCCTCGGCACAACTGCCGCCTTCTTTGGTCCTTTGGCAGGCTGGGGAGGAGAGGGTTTGGAGACGATTCCTCTCCTCTCTTCCTTCCTCATCTTCTTCCTATCCTTAGGGCCCCTCACCAGGGTCCATTCCCCGTCCTTCGACGCTACCGCAGGTGTGGATCGGGGCCGATTGGCGGGTTGGCTGTTAAGTCCCGCCTGTCGAAGGTGTCCACCATTACCCCGTTCCTCCTTCCCTGCCTGTTTGGTCATTTGGGCGTAGGTTTTCTTCCCCTCACGTGGGAGAGGATGACCCGACCCCGTCTTCGCCGGTTCCGGTTTCCTTGCTCCCTCCTTCTTCCCAGTGGTCGCGGTCTCCTGTCTCTCCTTCTTCCTCTGCTCCTTCCTCCTTCTCTTCCTCCTCTGGGTTTTGGTCTCCTGGTCCTTTGGCGCCCGCTCCTCCGCTCCCCCCTCCCCTCCCATCCAGATAGGCTTTCGCCTCTCCGGCTGGGGGGGAGTGGGATCCGGAGCGGCAGCTCGCGCCGTTGGTCCCGGGGACCTCTTCCCAGGCTTCTCCCTCCTCATGACAACTGCTCTCTCTCTCGTCAGCCTCCGTATGTCCTCTGTTAGGGACCGATATTCCTCCCCTTCCGGATCCAGACTCACCCTTGCGTCGACGAACAGGCTCAGATCTTCCGACAACCTGTCGTAAATATTCCTGGTCTCCGGGTCCAGGCTCCTCAACGCCATCGACTCGTCCAAGTCTTTCATTACCCCCTGAATTGGGGGTCTCCGAGCTGGTATCGGGGCAGGGGCATGCTCCGTCCTGAATAGGTCCAGTCTATCATCGTAGGACCTTGTTTCTCCCTGATTCCCCTTCTCCACCTCCGCGGAAGAGTCAGAGGATTCCTGGATCGCTGGCTTGATCACCTTCCTCTTTTTATGCACCCTAGTCTTCCGTCTGAGTGCTTCCTTTCCTTCCAGTTCAGTCGCAGAGGAACAGCTGCCAGCTGTCGCCTCCGCGTATGATCTGTGTCCTTGAGTCGGCTGAGTCAGTTCTCGTGCAGCGCTGGTGGACATTATCTTCGCCGCACTTTGCTCCTCCATCAACCTTCTGTTCTCTATTCTCAGTCTCTTCAGTTATTCTCTCATGCTTTCCATCTCGGTCTCGATGTTGGATCTGGCGTCTGTCCTCCCGTCCTTAGCTGCAAAAATGTGTGTAGGGGTCCCCGAAGAGACCCCCGCAGACTTCCCCCCTCGGTGAGGAACCGAGGGGGACCCTACCGCACCTGCCCCGGGGATCCCTCCACCTCTGCATTATAAAATCAGAGATGGGGGTCTCACCCCGGGTCAGGGCTATCCCTCCTGACGCGGGCGGGGTGTTCCCATAAAGGGTCGGCCCTCACCGCGCGCTCCTGCCTGATCCATGGGTCAGGGTGGCGGGGCCGCCAGTGGCCACTAATCCACCGGCAGAACCCATGGGCCTGTGATGAAGGAGTGGATGGGGAGAGCTACACCTTGCTCTTATCCCCCACCCTTCCCATCCCTCCTCCGCCAGGAGGGTGGCCGAGGCCTCAAACTTCATACTCTCCACCTCGGAGACCCCCCTCGGCCTACCTGCCGAGGATAGGGGGGGGGTGACGAGGCGGAACTCAATCCGCCTCGCCGGTCTGGCGACCACAGCTTCACCGTGCAATATGTCTTGCAGATCCCTGGCCAGGCAGTCGGCCTTGTCCCGACCACCCTGTCCAGGGATCTCCAAGATCACAGCCCCGTTCCTGGCCCTTTTGACTTTAAAGCCACCAGGCTCCAGGAGAACCTGCTGGAGGTTGATCCGCTGTCAGACATTGGCCATCACCGTTGCAATAGAACTGGTGACTGTGACGACCGGGTTGCGCGAGGGATCCTCAGTTGGGGTTTCTTTTGAGGAGGAGGGGGTTCCTTCTTTGGGGCCCCCTTCTTCCCAGCCCTCCCTCCCTTGGGAGGAGGTGCCGCCTTCTTCGCGGCATCCCCTTCCTTCGGCTTTGGGGATTCAGGGCGTGCCCCTTTTCCCTTGCCTTTCCCTTTCCGGGTGAACACGAGTATCCACCCAGTTTCCCGTCCCTCCCCAGCGACCGCCGGCTGCCGCAAAGGGGGGCGAGGGAGGGCGGTCCTGCTGCTCGCAGCTGCGGACACCGGAGGGGGAAGTACCCTCTCCAGTATCCGCCCTATGGCGATTTCCGCCTTAAGGCTCCGGACTTGTATTTCCAGGGCCCCAAGGCGTTCATCCGGACCGTCCTCCCTCACCAACCTCCCATAGTCCGCAAGCGCCTCCTCAATCTCCCTGACGCACTCGTGGACCATGTTGTTGAGACAGGCGAGGGGCTTCCCGACGTAGTCCCTCGTCATCTTTTTCCCTGGTTCGACTCTGAGCTCACGGAGGCATCTCACCCCGTCAATCGCCTCCGCGGCTAGAGTCTCACCTAGCCGTGAGGGCCTCCGCATGCACGGAATCCCCCATTGCTGGCGTCGCCCTCCCTCGCTCTCATCCCCTCCCTCGCGCGCGTTTCGGAGAGGAGCTCCCTCGGCCGAAGACTCTTCGTCCTCGACCGGAGGGAACTCCTCCCACGGGAAGAGATGCTCCCAAGTCTGCGAGGCGGACAGACTGACCGTCTTACCCTCGCGCTCACAGCGAGCCGCACTCCCCTCCCTCCGGGAGACTTTAACTTCCCCGAGCGGAGGGAAGTGCATCTCTCTGTCCTCCCATAATTGGGAGGCGGACGCTTCCGCCTTCCGCTTCCTCTTCTTCGACGACTTTGGACCGGGAGGGGCCGAGAACAAGTCCAACCGACTCGTGCTCGGCCTCAACCGATCCTCTATCGCCTCCCTTCGGGCGGTAACCAATTCCAGGGATCTGCCCGCCTGGTACACGTCCCCTGGCCCGTTGTATGATGACGACGAAGGGGCGCCGGGACAATGCGACCCCTCCCGCCGTTCTCCAGCTCCGAGTACTGGGGCTTTACCTCCTTCTTAGACATATCTCTATTAATGTGGGGGTTTTACGTGCCCCCGCATACACGGATTTGATTTCGGGGTTTTCCTTCCCCTAGACCGGTTGCCTTCACCAGGCTAACGAGCCCGCTCTGCCCGCGCTGTAGGGACCTTTGGGCCGCCCTAGTGCTGCGACCCTCCATTCCCTGGGTAAAACCTGGAGGCAGCTGCCCATCCAGAAGTATTATGAACGATCTTAGTCTGGCTCCTCTATACAGACCACTTCGGCATGATAGAACCTGCCAGGGGCCGAAACCCCAGCCGGCACAGCTCTGTACATCATCGGGACACGCAAGCTCCTCCACCACGGCAAGGTGGCGTCCACGGGGGAGACCTTCCCACATACTACTAGTATCGTTTATAATATATCTGACGGAGCATATTGCTATTTCGGAATTACCAAGAGTCTGAGAACTTTATTTTCAGAAATACCCACATTAGAGTTCCTACAAAAAATAAGCTTATTTGTTAATATTGATGGACTACCATTAAGTAATAGTTCGACTATTCAATTCTGGCTAATACTTTGTAAAATAGATCAATCCTTATGTAAACTTGAACTTTTTATTATTGCTATTTATTGCGGCCAATCAAAACTTTCTAATATACTTTAAATATTTAAATATTTAAAATTATTTTTAAAAGAGTTCATTGAAGAATATAAAATCCTTCATGATGTTGGAATAGTCATTGATGATAAATTATATACAGTTATAATTACAGGATTTATTTGTGACGCACCGGTTAGAGCTTTAGTTAAAGTAATAAAAGGACATACAGCTTTTTACGATCGTGAAAGATGCACACAAAGTGGAATATATCCATTTGGTGCAACAACATTTAACGAAGTTAATGCACAGAATAGAACTGATATAAGTTTCCTGTCTCAAATGCAATTAGAACATCATAATGATATTTCCCCTTTAGCAGCAATAATTTTCCTATGGTCACAAGATTTATATTAGATCCAATGTATTTAATTTATTTAGTAGTTATGAAAAGAATACTTCTTCAAATAGTACAGGGAAATAATTATTTCTATAAAATTGACGCAAGGAAAGTTAATCTGTTATCAGAAAGATTAGAATTGTTATATGAACATATTTCTTTGAATTTTGCAAGAAAACCGCAAAGTTTGAACAAAATTAAATGCTGGAAAGCTACTGAGCTACGCCAATTTCTTTTATATATTGGACTTACCGTTTTCAACGGAATTATTCCGAATAAACTTGTTGAACATTTTCAAATTTTTCATACAACCATATTCATTCTTTCACATCCGAAAATAGCAGTTCAATTATGTAGCACAATCATTATTGATAATATTTGTCAACAATTTTGATGATTTCTTTGGACCAAGTTCCAAAGTTTATAATATCCATAACCTCATTCATCTTCCGACGATGTTAGACATTTTGGCAAACTATTGGATGATACAAGTGCATTTGGTTTTGAAAATTTGCTTGAGAAAATAAAAAGATTATTATGTGGGGAAAAATCATTGTTACAATTATCTAGACGGCTTTCTGAAAATATTGTAACTCCTGTACAATATACTTATATATGAGATTTGAAACGGAAACAAACGTGGACCATTCTTAGTTGAATGGGAAAAATCTGTAAATCAGTATGAAGAGATTATTTAAAAAAATTTTCACTTCGTCACTAGTCGTACATCTGATCGTTATGTGTTGTTAAAAACGGAAATATTTTACAAATTTTCAATATTGTCATAAATAATTTACAAAAAATACATTGTTCCCATTTAATTTATAAACAATTTTTAAAATATATTCTGAAAAATTAAAAATATTTAGAATTAGTGAGTTAGAAAATGAATATAAAGTTACTTCTATATTAAAAGTTGAGGCTAAATATATTGTATATCAAGATAATATTTCGTACATTACATATCCTTTGTTACATATAATTAGTGTGTAGGTTTTAATAAGTAAACACAAGTTGTTAATATTGAATTCAATATCAAATAACAATGACATAATAATGATATAACAATGTTATAATTTCCTACCGAACAATGTTAATGCAATATAATATGTTACATTAATGGGAAATTATAGCTAACAGTAATGTTATTGTTGTTTTATGTTTATTGCCTACTTTCTTCATGACACAAGTATTTCTGCAATAAAATTATACTTATTATCCTTGGTAACACAATGTATAACATAAAATACATAAATATTGCAAAGATACTGTTTTGTCACGAGAGATTTTGTCTCTTTTACGAAATATAATCAGTTTGTATCATATCGATATTTTTATATACAGATATTGACTTATTGTATAGTATTGTATAGAGTTTCTTGAAAAAAATACTATTAAAATTATTCCTTCCTTCTGGCCTTCTTCTGATAATGAAACAGCATTTTGGCCCAAAGGCGTGACTCCGCCAGTTTTGAAGAAATATTAAATATTTTGCACTGAACCTCAAACTTTTTGGTCTTCTGTTAATATACGAATTTTAGGGTAAGCAGATACATTTATTATGTTATTATTAACACATTTGTATTTCTAAAAATAGTTCCTAATATTATTACAGAATATATAGAAGGAAGTAATAACTTTATATTTTATTTAAAAATGAAGTTAATAAAATATATTGACATTATATTAAAAAGTTTTTTCTGTTTCAAGTTAAGAAACAATACTTTACACTAATTATACAGAATGTCCTATTACTTTGAAAAAAATATAATATTCATTATACTCATTCATTTGTAATTTATATAATTGCTACACAGGGTGTCCCATTTTAAAGGACCTACTCAAATGTGTGACGCCTGGTGTGCGTCCGAGCGGGTTCTTCCCGCAAAGGAATTCTCTCGAGGGGTCTTGGCGAGGCACGGCTTGCTGGAACCCAGCAGCGGGAAGGAATCGCGCTCAATTTATTTGCTCCAAAAACGATTAAATAGCTTTATTTAGAAGCGAAAATTACTGTGATATAATAGGTGGTGCGTGCGACCGATGGGCGGTCGCTTGTCGAGCGTGTAATTTCGTGGGCCGTCGAGATGCCCGCGGCTCTTCGGGCCACTCTTTCGCACGCCGGGACGCGG